TTTTTCGTAATATGCAGATTGACGGTCTTGAAATGCTGTATCATGCAACAACGGCGGAGGAGTTTCCTCGATTTGGACTACAGTATATCCACGAGGAGATAGGCCGAATTATTGGGATGTTTCGTGAGAGTTCACGAGTTGATGAGCCTGGACCTGAGGCACCCCCCGTGCAGACTCAGCCTGATCCTCAGTTGATCGTGGATGTTCCTCGTAATAGACGGGAGGGACGGGGATTAGGACGTACACGTGAGAGAGTTGCTGCTGAGCCTGTCCCGATTATAGCACCTAGACCAGTGGTCGAGACTCAGGGATGGTTTAGACCTCCAGCATTTGGTCCTACTTACGGGTCACAGCCGATTTATCATCACGGATCGCAGTATGCGGCAGGTCCTAGTCAGGCGGCGTCTGAGCACCCTTACATGAGCGGGCAGGAGCCAGTTTTCCAGGCTAGTCCGATGGCTATGGCAGGAGCGGATCCGGCATCCTCACAGCCTGATTTCCAGCCCTATTCACAGGGACTTGATGCCGATTACCCCTTTTGGTCTGCAGAGGACACGATGGAGTTGTATCGCTCTGTAGGCCTTGTTGCAGAGAGCCATGACAGTGGGGAGACTCTAGCCACGGATTCTCACAGTCAGGGACACACCCCTTTTGATGTGCCGGGCAGCAGTGCAGGACCATCAGATGATTTCATCCGTGCGGCGATGGATGACTTCCACACTCCACCTCCACAGGACCATCAGGGTGACCCAGTCTGGGACAGACGTATACTACCAGATAGGGATGCACGACATAGGCCATGGCCACCGTGGTCCTAGTTTCATTGACATTTTGTTTATTCATTATGTTGTGGACTGTTTCATATTGTTATTATTTTGTTCTTTTGTATATGTCATATGAGTGTAGCATGTTGTTATATTGTGGACGCTACATTATTATATTATTTGGACTATTCACTATGTTTTGGTTATCGTTCTTTGCGGATTTATATTACGGTAACTAACAGCATCAGCTAATTAATAATTCAAGCTTAAAAACATACATAAACGGAAAGTAAAAAGTCCAACATAACGGACATTACAATTCATGCAATAACATAACCAACAGCAACAATATGAACATAATATGCAAATCATTCGTTTCTCCCACGACTTGGACATCGCCGACGATTATGGCCGCGTTCCTTGCAAAGTCCACACCTGATACGGCTCTGGCTTGTCTCAACTTCATCCATCTCGTTGCGGATGCGAGTTGACTTTGGACGACCTTTTGCACGCAACATAGTACAATCAGGAATAATCTTTGCACCACTAATTTCAGGTATTGCTTCCTCGTTTCCGATTGGCTCCCACGGAAAAGAATAAGCCTCGACCAAGTTATTTATCAAGAAGACGTCGTCAACGTAAGTGAACGCACTCTGCCTAACACTTAACGCAGCAGCAACAGCGTGACTACATGGATACTTAAAGGCCTTAAACTTTCCACACTGACAGTATCTCTGTGGGAGGTTGACAGAATATGAACGTTCCCAACCTGCGTCAACCTCGAATACAGTATGTTCAACATTGTATGCACGAACGTGGTGGCCTGTTGCATCTACCTGGTTCTTCTTGACCAATTCAACAACATGTTTGGAGTGACGATGAGCTGATTGAAGTTGTGCAAGAGCATTTGTTCCTCTCTCAACAAAATATGCAACCAATCTGCTATATGTATGCTTAACCAATGCTGTTATAGGCATATTTCTGGCCCCCTTCAAAACCCTATTGACAGATTCAGCCAAATTTGTTGTCATATGACCGTACCTCCGTCCTTCAATATCTTAGGCACGCGACCACTTTTCCTTAGGAATCGCATCTATCCACTCAACAATTTGAGGACTACTTTCACGGAAACTCGCAAGATTCCTTTCAAAATCAACCATTGCTGGAGTATAACCTGCACAAATTGGACATAAACGAATTAAACATAAATTGACAGTCATAATGGAAAGAAATAATTAAGCATTCAGTCAATGAGTATACCTAAATTCTTTAACATCCGCTTCAAATCTTCATTTCGAAACTTTTGATTGAAGTTGCTTGCAATATGACGAATACAGAATACGTGATACGCATTTGGCGGCTGCCAAGTAGGGTTATTTTCCACAGCAGATATTATGCTTCGATGCCGATCGGATATTAAACATATGTTTGACATCGTAGTCACATGAGCACGAATATTAACGAGAAAATAATCCCATGCTTCCAAAGTTTCGCCTTCTACGATGGCAAATGCGATCGGTAAACATTCATTATTACCATCTTGGGTTGTGGCCACCAACAATTTCCCTTTGTACTTTCCATATAAATGTGTTCCATCAATTTGGATGACGGGTTTGGCAAATTTGAACGCCTCACAACACTGTCTAAACGTCCAAAAAATGCGATGAAAAACCTTTTTTCCAGAAACTAAGCTCTGCTCGGCATAAAGATCATTAGTTTGTATATGATAAAATGAACCTGGAGAAAAGCGAAGCATGTATTCGCACCACCTTGGTAAAAAAGCATACGATTCCTCCCAATCACCGTACAGAATTGCCATCGCTTTCTGCTTCGCATACCACGCCTTTCTGTACGAAACTTGAAAGCCATATTTAGCAGTTATCCTTTCTTGCACCAAAGAGATTGACACAGATGGTTCAGACTTTATCATCCCTGCATTGAAGAGGATATCAGTGCCTCGATAACATCGAACGAATTTAATTACACATTTGTGGTCAATCACACATTTAAAATACAAAAAGGTACCTATCACGAGATCTGCAATAACGTCTGCATCAAGCTGTCTATGACCCTGGGAAATGTGCTCATTCACACATTCGTGTTTTCCACCTCATCTCGTTATTTTCCAATTTTCACGAAACACCGGTTTGATCGCCCTTACGCGCCACGGACAACCTTGATCGTACGCACAACATTTCATGGACAACTTTGCAGGCGTGCTCTCAATTACAATGGCTTCTTGATGCTCCCTAATAAGGTTGTGCTTAAGTGCCATTTGGACATCTTTTTTTGTCGCAAATTCTTGATTGACAAATAACATGTCACCCAGTTGCCACGGACCTTGTATTGAAGCCGATCCAGACACCGAACCATCAGTACATGATTCTTGTTCGCTCTGATAACTCCAATCAATGTAAGAATAATGCGGAATTCCTTCCCAAAAAGGAATAACATCTGTGTCACCTGCAATTGCGGGTTATAATTTTTTAATACGAACTTACTACTAATTCAGGCAACATTAAATCAGTTATTTATTCACGCAGTATACAAATGGGAACAATTACCTTCTTGTGGAATACCAAACGGAGCAGACGCAACGTCATTCAACTGCGGCATTTGCGCGACGACTGGTTGATGGAATATTGGAATTTCAGACGCACCCATCTCACGAGATTCATCTCCTTCTGAAGCACTAGCATCCTCCGCCAGAAGATGTTCTTCCATTGCCATATTTTCATCGTCATCATCGTCATCTTCGTCGTGCATTTCCCAAGTCGGATCATTTTCATCTCCCTCAGAAAAGATACCAACTGGAGACGCATGAGCGACAGGAGAAGCTGGAAGACGGGGAGAATTTAAATAAACTGACCTCACCGGCATGGGAGCATTCTCCGTTGCAACGATGTCGACATACAACTCTAGAAAATCTGTCCTTGACTGGTTGCAAAATTCTTCCATTGTCATCTCCAAGTCTTCATCGTCAAGCACTTTCAAACTAATGTATTTATCACCTTGCCACACCCTTGTCGTGATCTCAGTGATACATTGGTTGTCTTGAAGACTTAACTTCTGCCGAATTCTCTGATGCAATTCGCCAATGGTTGTGTTGCGTTGGATACGTGTCACCCTTTTTTCACCTTCGAATATGACACCTCGTCGACCTTCTACCTTCCTACCATTGTAATATAACACAACACGAACAGAATCAGGATTTGAACTCATTTTTAAATAGAATTACAACTAAAATTCAAATACTAAATTAAAGATAAAGGAATGTTGGTGGAGAAGAGAGATATGAAGAGTGAGAGAAGAGGTGTGAATTGAATGGAGGGGGTGAGGAAATATATAGAGCACACATGTGACGCCAGTTTTGGGCGTCACATGTGACGCCCCATTGGGGCGTCTCTCCCATGGATAAGACGCCCCAATGGGGCGTCACATGTGACGCCCAAAACTGGCGTCACATTGTGCAGTAGATGTGTAATTTTTTACGAAACAACATTAAATGCGTAATTATTTTATTTAAATACAATATTTTAATTTTTTTGCCATAATAAAGCTTCTCTCCTATTATATAAGGTTAAAAAATAATAAAAAATATAATGGGGTTACTAAAATGTTGATGCAATTTAATAAATAATATATTTAATTACAAAGAACTATAAGCTTATGCATGATTCTGTACTCGTATGCATTATTCTTCTGGATGTTATTGATTAATTGAGAACTGTTCTCCGTATGAGCTTTGTCTGCTATTGCTGACTCCAATCTATGATTACAAACTATTCATGGCAGTGTGTGAGTGCAGAGAGAGGAAAGCAGTTTTGCTTTTTAGTTTTTATCGCTTTTACCCCGGATATGTTAAAAGTTCATAATCAGCCACTCATCATCTCTCACGGACCATACGGTTACTTTATCTCTACTTTTTAGGGAGAGGAATGTTTGGCTTGAACAATCAATCATTGTCAGAGATCTACTGTTTATATATATATATATATATATATATATATATATATATATATATATATATATATATATATAATTAATAACTTTTACATTTGATTTGAGAGACACGAGAAGAGAATCATAATGTTATAATGCAATGCAATTATTGAGGAAGAGAAAAAAAAAAGAAAAAAAAAAGGAAAAGACAAAAAGTGCACTTCAGAACAAGCCAGTTTGGCTTGCGTTTTGGTCTTGTACGTGCGAGCTAGCTTCAAAGGCAGATATCCTTTTCTCATCCACATTCTTCTCCTTAGCTCTTCTCTCTTTCTCCCTCATCCACACACACACACACACAAATAACTCATGAAAATTTAACTGTGCTTAATTAGCATACTCTTGAAGCACACTTTGCGGAGCTAGTTGCCAGCGAGATTTGGTTGTTTAAGACCTTAAGAAGCTAGCTAGATTTGGATATATATGCTTATATAGATAGGTTTTGAAGCCAATAATCCATCTCGGGATCCATTCATCTTTCTCAGCTTTTCTTCTTAGTTTCTCTCTTGGCGGTGTTCTCAAGAAGCTACAAGGTTGAAGAATAGAGAAAACTATATAATTAAGGTGGATCCATGAGCTAAAGAGATCAGATCCATTCCCTACCATATGTTTCCTTTTCCGGTGTAAGCAGATTGTGATAAGGTTCAGTTCTAAGATCTCAGAAATTCTTCATCTGTCACAAATATTAATGTTTGTGTACATATATCTCACATATCTATAGAGTTTGTTTTCTCAATAATATCTAATTTGATATATACACATATAGACATGATGAAAGGCTTGGTGGTTGATGAAAATATGTCCAATTTGACATCTGCATCAAGTGAAATAAGTGCTTCTTCCGGAACAAGGAATGACAATGGTTCTCTACATCCTCAGTACTCATCTACTTCAACAAATCAAGAACCACAGCCCAAAAAGAAGAGAAGCCTTCCAGGATACCCAGGTTGACCAATACTATTAATATTTTTTTTTTCTTTTAATTGAGATGGTATATTTATATATAGAGGGGTTAATTAATTTGGTGCAAAAATAAACATTTGTTTGCAATAATTAGCTTAGCCTGTTAATATATATAATATTGTTTGTTTTACAATATTGAATCATGTTGGTTTAAATTTTTTCACCCGGTTCGGTTTAGACCCTGAGGCTGAAGTGATAGCCTTGACTCCCAAGACCCTCATGACAACAAACCGGTTCATTTGTGAGGTTTGTAACAAAGGGTTTCAAAGAGATCAGAATCTACAGCTTCATAAAAGAGGGCATAATTTGCCATGGAAGCTAAAGAAGAAAAATAGCAAAGAAATAACAAGAAAGAAAGTATATATATGCCCAGAGCCAACATGCGTTCACCATGACCCATCAAGGGCCCTTGGGGACCTCACTGGAATCAAGAAACACTTTTTCAGGAAGCATGGGGAGAAGAAATGGAAGTGTGACAAGTGCTCCAAGCGTTACGCAGTTCAATCGGATTGGAAAGCTCACTCCAAAATTTGTGGCACCAGAGAGTATAAATGTGACTGTGGAACCCTTTTCTCTAGGTAAGAATCTTATTAGTTTTAATTGATTATATACAAATCCCAAAACCAAATCAGCTTATCTTCAAAACACATTTTCCATTGCTTAACATAACTCATTTTTCCCTATATTTAACGGAGAAGATCCATTTATAATTTTTTTTTTACAAATTACACTAAGTGTGACCGATCATACATTCTTAATTGAAGTATGACCGATCGTACTTAGTATAATTTGTAAATAAAAAGTTTGTAAATATAACTTTTCTCATATTTAATATATAAACATGGTTTATACTTTATTATATAAACATGAGTTATATAACTCATTTTTCCTTCTTTTTTTATGATTGCAGGAGGGATAGTTTTATAACTCACAGAGCCTTCTGTGATGCTTTAGCACAGGAAAGTGCTAGAACAATCACAGCAATGAACCCTTTACTATCCACTCACACACAACTTCATAGCCATGGCTTTCAACCACCATCATCAGTGAAAATAGAACAAGGGTTCAACTTAAGACCAGAAATTCCACCATTTCACCAAATGCATTTCGACCAGTGCTTAATCCAGCATGAAAACCCTAACCCTACAACTACTTTGTTTCCTTCTTTCCATTCCAATGTTTCTCCTCACATGTCTGCCACTGCTTTGTTGCAAAAGGCATCACAAATAGGTGTAACAGTAACGGCACCTTCTCATGGCATGCTTAGACCCCACCACTTGAAGCAGCAGGTTCACGTGCATGAATATTTTAATACAACTGGGTATAATATGGCTTCATCTTCAGCTGTTTCTGGAATGGTTATGCCGTCACGTGAAGAAATAGGAACTGGGTTTGGTCATGGTTTGGCATCTTATGGGAATAAAGCTGCAACTACTTCAGATTACTTGGAAGAATGTGATGCTGCAAACACAGAAGCTGATCAAGAATATTCTCTTTTTAATGATGTGATGGCAAGTACTATGCATTCAGCTAGTGGGTTTGAGGAGGCTATGACTATGAAGGGTATGTTTAATTCTCCAAGAGGTAATGAACTTGTTTCAAAATCAACACTATCACCTGCAGCTGGTGCCAACGATGAAATGACAAGAGATTTTCTGAGCCTTAAAGCATTTTCTCAAAGGGAATTCTTCAATATATCTGAGATTGATCACTTGGGTTCATCATATGGCAAACAAAATCATAACCAAGGACCTTGGCAAGGGTAATTAGGTTTGTATTTAACAACTCCTTTCGAATACGATTTTCTGTGTACCTGAAATTTCATTGCATTTTTACTAATGTGGTTTAATTTTAATTTTTTTTTAAGTAATATAATTTGTAGATCGTTTTAAGTCACATCTAATACTTTGCAGTAGAGGTTTTTTTTTTTGGGTAATTGCAGTAGAGTTTTAAATACCAATGTAAACTCCAAATAAAATTAATAGAGGTAGGATCCTTTGACACTAGTGTCAAATTTGAAATTCGACACCTCATATGAAAACCGTTAGATCAAAAAAGATCAATGGTGTCACATGCTTACAAATCAGAATCGTTGATCTTTTTTGATCTAACGGCTCTCAGATGAGGTGTCAAATTTCAAATTTGACACTGGTATCAAAGTATCCTACCTCAAATTAATATTAGTTTTATAAAGTGGTTGTTCTCGTATATGACTTAAGCTAGTTTTTTTAATTATATACCTAAAATAGTGGTCACAGGCCACGACTTACCTTAAATAATTTGGAATTAGAGTAAATAGTATTTCGTCACTACGACTTTAGGTATACAATAAAAAAAAATTAGTATGAGAATAACAAGTTTGTAAAATTAATATTAAGATATTAAACTTATATATAAATTGTGTTTGATATTAATGACTTAGTTAAAAAAAATTTACAAAATTATGAGTGAAACTTACAATTTTATATAACTTACATCATTTTAAAAAATAAAGTTGAAATAAACCAAATTAATAAAAAGAAAAAATGATTACACCGGACGAGTAAAAAATCTTTTCTCATCGATGCTGAATAGTGCTTTAAGGTACATTCTTTCCTTAGAAATTAGCAATATATTTTTCGCTTAAGTTGATTAAAAAGTCTACCGCATATGTGGTGTTTGATTATTTTCTTCCCAAACAAACTTTATCTATATATCATAATATCACATCTTCATATTACTTTCTTATATAAGGATTGATTTTCTATGCATATATGACCGACAAAATAGGGATTAAAAAATAAATACGAAATAATACGCGCGGAATCTTAAATAAGAATTTCAAGTTTCCCTATTTCTCCTACTTATTCTTCCCTCTATTTTCTCTTCTCTCTATTTATTTGTCTCCATCTTTCTCGTTTCTCGTCTATGTCTCAATTCCCTTTCAATTCTCAAATTACTGAACAGTAACATCCTGTCCTGAGCTTCTACTGAATAATAGAGATTTTGCTACACTTTCATTGACTCTTATCTCAGCTCAAATATTAATCAGTAGATAATAAAAATTATAACAGGTCTAAAATAATTTTATATTGTTCTTTATATTTATTGTTAATTAATTCTTTTATTTATCATAACACAATTATATAATATAAACAATTTTAATATCATTTATTTAAATTTCTTTGTTTATATAAACTACTTAAAATTATTTTAGTGTTTATCTATTTAATCATTCATTTTATTTAAGGAATAAGGTCATATGAATATATTTCAAATTTTATTTAATAGTTATATATTTATGATTTCGGAATTTGAAATGATATTGAAAATACTCATTAAAAGTTTATTTTTATATATTATGGTTTATGTTTCTAAATTAGTTTAAAAGTAACAAGCAACCAATTGTCCAAAAGCTAAATCTGTTATGTGAAAACAGATGAATAAGAAGTAGTCAGAGAGCTCCACACATTATTGATGTTAAGCAACAAACCCATAATATTTAATACCATATCTCAATCCAAAACTTTGAAGTATAGGTTTATAGGTCATTTCACTTATATGTTTCTTGCTTAACTCATTCCTATTTAATATAAAATTTTATCACTCCCACTTGAATTCTCATCAATATTCCCTTCAAATATAAGGCCCAATATTTGTCAACTCTATCTGAGAAGAAAGTTTTTTCGAGCATATATGGATTACTAAACCAAGAGTGATTAAGTTTGGACTATATAACATAGGTCAGATGCACAAACCCAAATACAAATTGCATTCTCTAAGTACTCATCTTAACTAAGTAATTGGCTCTAATATCATGCCAAACAACCAAAATTTTAAGCTATTAGGTAAAGGCAGACAAAATAATAGTTTTTATATTTATATTTGTTACAAATAAAAATAATTTGTAATTGAATATTATAGAAAATATAGAATGGGTTAGGCGCGTAGAGCTACGCGCGCGATTCTTTTTCCCTCTGATAGGGTTTCTGCACGAACCTGATCAATTTCTTCAATGGAGGTAGCGGGAGATAAGCATGATGTTGCGTTGTCATTGGAAAGAAAAAGCACTAAGAGAACAAAGAGTGGGGAGGAGATTCACACGGAGACTCGTTTGAGGGAGGCGGTGAAAGAATACCAAGCTGGCTTTCCTGGATTGGTGAAACAGAGATCCTTCGCGGAGGTAACGGGGGAGGAACATGGGGTTGTCGGCGACTCTCTTCCCTGGCTGGTAGAGGACGAAGATCCGGAGTTGGAGCCGTTGGACCCTAGCTTGGGTGTGATTTCTGAGTGGGGCTTCCAGACGATATTCAGAAAGGATGGATCAGTTGAGATAAGAAGCAATAAGGAGGCCAGAGCTAGGATGTGCCAGTGATGGAAGAATGCACTCATTGTCAAGCTCCTGGGCAAGAAGGTGGGGGTGGGTTTCATGAAGAGGAAGCTCGATTCTCTCTGGGCCAAGGCAGGGAGCATCATAGTGGCGGACCTAGGTAACGATTTCTTTTCAGTTAGGTTCAGTAGTCTGGAGGATCTCAACCTGGCCATTATCGGTGGGCCTTGGGTCATCTTAGGGCATTATTTAGCCACACGCAAGTGGGAGCCCAGATTTGACCCGGAGAAAGCCAACATTCATAAGGTGGCTGCTTGGATCAGGTTACCAGGTGTTCCCCAGGAATATTGTTAATTTTCTTTCCTCAACCAACTGGGAACAGTGATTGGGAAGGTGATCAAGGTGGACAGAACCACTTCGACGGGTGATAGGGCTCGGTTTGCAAGAGTTTGCATTGAGGTTGACCTCTCAATGCCTCTGAGAGGTGAGTATATTCTTGATGGGAGCAGGAGGAAGGTAGAATATGAAGGATTGTTCCTGATTTTTCTGAAATGTGGGAGGTATGGCCATAACTCTAGTGCTTGTCCTGATTTTGTTAAGCCTGCTACATCATCCACGGCTGATAAGGACCCTGACCAACCTATGGAGAATCCTTGTCCTCAAGGAGTAGGAGCCTGGATGGTTGTCCAGCGCAGGAAGAACATCAATCAGAATTTTCAAAAGAATAGCTCTTCAACCAGCAGAAAATTTGGAATTGATATCTCTAATAAGAGAAATACTATGGGGAATGGGTCAAACTCCAGCAGTGGGCTAAATGGGCAGGAGTGTGCTCAGGGTAAAATTCCAGAAGATGTAAATTCTATGATAAAGGAGCTTAAGGAGAATATAGTATCCTTGGAAAAGCCTCAGGGCATTGGTGTGGGGATGGAGTTCAATGCAGTAGCCCCCTCTCAAGTCAAGAAGACATCATGTATTAAGGCTAATTTTCCTGGCACTAAAAAGGCAGGTCCAAAGGTCCCTATTGCAAAAGGAAAGGGATCAGCTCTTAACCCGAATCCTAGTTCTGAGATTGGAAGTGGAGGTGTTGTCCGTAAGGAAAACCTGAAAGTTTCTCAACCTGGTGTTCAGCTAGAAGGGAAGCTATGAAGTGACTTGGTGATGGAGGATGATAGCTTCTGGTCCGAGGGTAAGCTAGGCCAATCCAGCAAGGCTGAGATGGGCTGTAAGGATCCTATTACAGAACCTAAGCCTCCTGATCCTAGTAGGGGTGAAGTTCCCATCAGGGAAGGAGGTCAAGCATGTATGGAAGTTGAAATTTCTCGTTGTAGTTAATCCTATGTATGTGGAGATTGGAGGTAGTTGTGATAAGGAGATGATAGAATTGAGTGAACCGTTGGTGGTCAGTCAAGTGCAATGTAGCAAGAACTTAGTAATCTTGCATCCTCATTCGAATTCATTATGAATATTTTGGTGATTGGAATGTTTTACTTCTGTTTAGTTATGCTTATGAATAATAATATTTGTTCATGGAATTGTAGAGGAGTAGGGAAAAAGTCTTTTCCTGCACTGATTAGAGATATTAAGTATAGGTTCAAAATAAAAGTTTTGGCTTTGCTGGAAACCAGAGTTCATGGTGTCAAAGGTGAAGCTATATGCAGGAAGCTTGGTTTTTCTAAATACTTCAAGCAGGAGTCTATGGGGTTTTTTGGAGGTATTTGGGTTTTGTGGGATGAGAGGGATGTAGAGGTTGAAGTTATTCAATCTCATCATCAGTATGTTCACTCTAGAGTTCACTATTTGGAGGATAATAGGGTGAAGTTAGTCACTTTTGTGTATGGGAGCCCGAGGAGATGTGAGAGAGAGATCCTTTGGGAGAAGTTGGAGGAATTGTCTGGCTCTGTGAATTCTCCCTGGATTATTCTTGGGGATTTCAATCGGTGCTGAAGCAATTTGAGAAAGTTAGTGGTATGGAGGTTTGTTGGAGGAGTATTCTTGAGATGCAGGATTGCCTTGATGTGTGTGGGGTCTCTGACATAGGATTCAAGGGCCCTAGTTACACTTGGAAGAGGGGTAACTTACAAGAAAGAATTGATAGAGCTTGTGCAAATAAGGAGTGGAATACGGCTTGGCCCAACAGATTTCTTGGTCATCTTCCATTCTTCAATTTGGATCATAAACCAATTCTGGTCAGCAATTATCAAACTACCCGAGAGTTGAATAGTGTGAAGCAATTCAAGTTCCTTGCTACATGGCAGACAAACCCAGATTTTGGGAATATTGTAAAAAAGTGTTGGGAGAAGAAAGAGGCTTGGTCTGAAGCTAGAATAGAGTTTGAGGTTGAAGCTTCCAACTGGAACCATCATGTGTTTAGAGAGGAGATGAGACAAAAGCATAGATTATATGCTAGAATCCAGGGCATTGATATGGAGCTGGAATCTAGATATGATAGGGACCTTGTGAGGTTGCAGGGTGATCTTTGGAAGGATTTGGAGATGATCTTGCTTAGAGAGGAACTGTCTTGGTTCCAAAGATCTAGAGTTTCTTGGCTGAAATTTGGTGATAAAAACACAAAGTTCTTCCATTCGACTACCATTGCTAGAAGAAGAAACAACAAAGTGATGACCATCAAGAATAAGATGGGAGAGTGGACTGCAGACTCTAATGATCTTGTGAATACAGTTGTGGGCTACTTTGAGAAACTATTTCTGGTTGAGGAAGGGGCTATTGAGGATTATCCCATCAAGGGTGTTTTCCCCAGGTTGGAGGCTGTTGAGTTGAATAAGTTAGCCATATTCCTGATGAGGAGGAGATTAAGAACATTGTTTTTAAAATGGGTAGATTTAAAACTCCAGGGCTGGATGGTTTGAATGCTGTCTTTTATCAATCTTAATGGCACATTATTGGCAAATCTGTTTGTGACTTGATAAGGAATATTTTTGTTGATCCTTCGAAGGTTCAGGATGTTAATCAAACTCATCTTTGTTTGATTCCTAAAAAAGACAATCCAGAATCTATGAAAGATTTTAGGCCAATAAGCCTGTGCAGTGTTTCTTACAAGCTGGTTACAAAGATTATTGCTGATAGATTAAGGGAGTTGATGCCTAAACTGGTTAGTCCGAATCAGTGTGCTTTTATCAAAGGTAGGAATAGTGCTGATAATATCCTGGTGGCTCAAGAGATCATTAACTCAATGCAAAGGAAGAAGGGTGATAAGCGGGATGGTCATTAAAGTAGATCTCGAAAAAGCCTATGATAGGCTAAGCTGGGAGTTTATTCATGACACTTTAATAGATTTGGATTTGCCTAGCAATCTGGTTTCTGTCATTGATAAATGTATTGGCACTAGTGAATTGAATGTGCTTTGGAATGGGAAACCTACTAAATTCTTCAAGCCTTCCAGAGGTATAAGGCAAGGGGATCCTATATCCCCTCACCTTTTTGTTCTTTGCATTGAAAGACTTGGCCATCTGATCCAAGTAGCTAATGAGGTTAAGGCCTGGAAACCTATTTTGCTTAGGAAAAACGGTCCTCTAATTTCACACCTATTCTTTGCTGATGACATCTTGCTTTGTATGGAGGCTTCTTTGGAGCAGGCTTTTGTGGTGAACCAAGTTCTCAGGGTGTTTGCTTTGAGCTCTGGTCAGAATATTAGCCTGGATAAGACTCGTGTCTTCTTCTCTAAAAATGTTGGCTTCAACAAATCTAAGGAGATCAGCGAATGCTTAGGCATAAGGAGTACTCCTAATTTGGGGAAATACTTGGGAGTATATTTGAATCATTCTAGAGTTACCAAAGCATCCTTTGGTCATGTAATGGATAGGGTCAAGAGCAGGCTGAGTTCTTGGAATGCCAAGTCTTTATCTCTAGCTGGAAGATTGACTCTGGTTAAATCAGTTATGGCTGCAATGCCAAACTATGCTATGCAAACAGCCTGGATCCCTAAATCTATGTGTGAAAATATTGAAAAGCAGGCTCGTGGATTTATTTGGGGCTCCACTGAAAATAAGAGAGGTGTGCATCTAGTTAATTGGGAAACTATGTGCACTAGGAAGCTGTCTGGAGGTGCTGGCTTGAGAAATATTAAAGCTTTTAATCAAGCTTTTGTCATGAAGGTGGGCTTTGGTTTATTAACAAAGAAGGAGACTCTGTGGGCCAGAGTTCTGAGAAATAAATACAAAGTTGAAGAGGGTCTGGTTCCCAGAATTGCTAGATCAGTTGGTGATAGTAATATTTGGAGGGGTTTGTGTTCTTCTTGGAATCAAATTCTGGCTGGGTCTAGTATAGTAATGGGGGATAGGAGGCTCATAAATTTTTGGTTAGATTGCTGGGTTCTTGGAATAGGGAGGCTTATTGACAAGGCTACTGCACATGTTCCTGTCGGTGCTCAAACTTGGAGAGTAGCTAACTGTGTGACCCAGAATGGTGGATGGGACTGGGATAAGTTCAATAGGTACCTTTCTACAGAAGTTTGTGAAGTTATTGCTGATATTGAGGTCCCTAAGGTGGATGATGGCACTGATAAGGTCATTTGGAGGCCTTCTAGCAATGGATTGTTCTCTGTCAGGTCTGCCTACCAGTTCATCAGAGATGAGGCAGCTAACTTGCCTAATCAGGATAATTTGTGGGATTGTGCTTGGAAGTGGCAGGATCCTGAAAGGATAAAGCATTTTTTATGGCTTCTTCTAGGGAATAGTCTCCTGACTAATGAGCAAAGGTATAGAAGACACATGGGTGGAGAGGCTCACTGTCCCAGGTGCTGCCACCCCTGTGAAGATTGCAAACATGTAATGTGGGATTGTCCTTGGGCTAAGAAGGTCTGGATGCTATTAAATCCTAAGTTCAATGTGATCCATTTCTCTGGTAGCAGCTTTTCAGATTGGCTTAGAAGCAACCTGAAGATCAAAAAGGAGAAGGGTCTGGAGCAGGGCTGGAGCCTCACGTTTAGAGCCACCTGCTGGATGCTATGGCAAGCTAGAAACAATCTAGTCTTTAGAAATAAAGTGTGCTCTCCTGAAAGTTTTTGCTTTAAGGTTAGAACTTATGTTAATGGTATTATTCAGGCTGAAAAAACCTTAGGAGTGATTGATAATAGCCCAAGGAAAATGGAGGACTGTAGTGTGAGTTGGCAGCCTCATCTTGAGGGCTGGATTAAAATTAATTTAGATAGAGCCTGCTCCCTAGATGGTTTGAGAAGTGGATGTGGTGGGGTCTTGCGTAATAGTAATGGTAGATGGATTGTAGGATTTATGAAGAAAGTTGGCTAAGGCAATGCTTTGAAGGCTGAATTATGGGGTGCTCTTATGGGTCTTCATGTGGCCTGGGACCATGGTTTTAGACAAGTCCAATGGGAAGGAGACTCTCTTGATGCTTTGCACTTAATTCAAAATGGATGTGCTCCTGATCATCCTCTGTTTCAAGTGGTGTCTCGAATTCAGGAAATGAAAAGCAAGGAGTGGAAGTTGATGTTTAGTCATATTAACAGGGTTGGTAATACAGTAGTTGATTGCTTGGCTGGTTTGGTAGATCATGGATCTTGGAATTTAGTCATTTTGCCTAATGCTCCTTTGGGTTGTAATAGGCTGCTAGAAAAGGATCTATTGAGTGCTATTTTTACCTAGAATGATCCTTAGGTAGTTTTGTGTTGTAGTTTTTCTTTCCCTAATATCCAAAAAATAAAATAAAAATAATTTGTGAGAATAATTTCTTAAATTTTTTATTATTGTGTGAGCTGAAATATCTTAATCAACATTAGCTACTTGTTATAGTGGTTTTTTTTATCTCCAAACAAATACAGATTTTGAAATGTTGATCCAATGATCTTTGCTCCAAGAAGATGAGGGTTCTCTAGTGACCATTCATACTGATGGGCCCTTCCAGCATGTTCACAAGGCAACATAGTTCCCCGTGGGGTTGGTCTTGGCATGGTTTCTCAATCAACAAAAAAAGATGAAACCAGTATGTAAAAAGGATACGTCTACATGATCGCTTAAGTAAAATCTTGGGTTTGAGTTTTTTTAAATGTAAGAAAAAAAAATTGAGATGTTTCTAGTTCAAATATATATGATTGTCTTCCCGTAAAAGATATGTGTAATTTATTCAAAATAAAAATAAAAATGTCCGCATGGGAGGCTGGGTTACCGTTAATTTATGAAGAAGATGAAATCACTTCTGGTGCATCACCAAGATGGTTTGTTACTAAATATGGTATAGGCAATGTAGAGGCAAGTTTACCGTAGCTGAAGTGAAAACATTTTAAGCCATTAGAATTGATCTAGTGGGTGAGATATTTGAGTAGTTTGTATTAGGTTGTGTGTTTATTCCTATTATCCAAAAAAAAGTGAATACTTTTTCTATTCTTATGGTTTATCAAATTATAAATTATAAGGAAGGTTATACTTACAATCTATTTTCATTTACAATATCTTAAATTATATTTTAACAGTTGATTTTCATCAATCAATTTTATCATTTATTACAAATTAATAATTAATTAATGAATTTGATTTGTGAAAATAATAATTATTGATTGGTAAAAATCAATGGTTAAGATATGATTGTAAGATGTTGTAAACGAAAATAGGTTATAAATATAATAACTATTCATAAATAACTTGTTCAATTTTATATTGATCTTTTCTCTCTCTTGTGAGGCTAACCCATTTTTCATTGGTCCGGAAAACCTTGAAAAGACAATTTGCTTTATATTTTCCTATATATAAATGAGTTAAAATCATCAAAACAAACTAAAGTAAAAAAGTTGCGTTGTCAGTAATCATGAAGATCTCAAACTAGAGAAGTAAGTACTCCTTTGTCCTGGTAAACCCCAATGTGATTTTTAATGTCTGTCCTTTTTTGGAATTGTAGAGGGGCCGCCAAAAAAGAATTGGGGTGAACCGTCAAGTTACTAGTGGAAAAACATAGACTACATATTGTGATACTGTTGGAAACTAGAACAAATAGAATGAAATATGAGTTATTAATGAAAAAAATTAATTTGACAAATGCTGGGTAGAAGAAACAAATGGTTTTTCAGAAGGAATCTGGATTCTTTGGTCTTCTAATTGGTGTCAGGTAGAGCCCAAAGAGCAAACAAGTCAAATGATTCATATGAAAGTAACATTGGACAACAATATGTCTTTTCTTTGTATGGCTATCTACACAAATCCGAGGGAAACTCAACAATAGGTGCTCTAGGAAGACCTAAAGAATCTTAGTATAAACATATCAGAACCTTGGTTAGTGCCTTAGTGGGTGGAGACTTTAACGAGATTTCTAGTGTTATGAAAAAAATAGGTTGCACTCCTCCGAATAGAATTAAGTGTGATCATTTCGCTTCTGTTCTGGAAGATTGTGAATTTGGTGATATGGAGTTATATGGTTCTATGTTCACATGGCAGGGACCAAAATAGGGTAATCTTCGCATGATCTATAAAAGGTTGGACAGAGTTGTTGTGAATCTTCAATGGCATCTTCAGTTTGATAATGCCAAGGTATGCTATCTCCCTAGAATTCTCTCTGATCACTGTTCTATTTGGGTTAATCTATTTACCAATGTTGATCCAGGTGGAAAGAAACCATTTAGGTTCCTTACTGTATGGCAGGAACATAGTGGATTCAATGGTCTAATGAATTCTCATTGGGATAAGAACTTTGACATTCCATACATGCTTCAGCATTTCATGCCAAAAGTTCGAGAGTTGGAATAAGAAAGATTTTGGGGATGTTAACAAGAAAAAAGATAGAATAACAAAAAATATTGAGAGAATTCAGAATCAAATTATCTCGAGTGATTCAGCTCGCTTGAAGAATGTTGAGTCTGATTTACAAAAGCAGCTTCAGGTTGTTCTAGAGGAAGAGGAGCTTCGGTGGTTTCAAAAATCCAGGAACAAGTGGAAGCAGATGGAGATCGTAATACAAGATTTTATCATTTGAATACAGTAATCAGACGTAACTTCAACAGGATTAACCGTCTACAGAATGACAGTAATCAATAGATTTCGGATCCTAAGGGACTAAAAGATATGATTATTTTGTTTTACAAAAATCTCTTCACTGAAGATAATGCTAATAGGAGGTGGTTGGAGTTAGCTAGTTTGTGGCCTTCTATAACCAGTCAAGAGTAGTGAAATACGGTGAGGAAACCCTCTTTTGAGGAAATTAAACATTGCATCTTTGACATGCAACCTTATTAGGCTCCAGGAATTGATGGCTTCCCGACTCTGTTCTTTCAAAGAAATTGGAATAACATAAAGGAATAGGTGGTTAATTTTGTCCATGAAATATGGCAGAATCCAAGCCTGTTATCAACAATAAATTCTATATTGCTGGTGCTTATCCTTATGGTCCAAGGTCACACAAGCATCAAGCAGCTCAGACCCATTTCACTATGTCTGATATTGTATAAACTAATATCCAAATTGGTAGTTCAACGCCTGAGACCGAATTTAGAGAAGCTTATCTCACCAACACAAAGTTTTGTCCCAAGAAGACATAAAAAAAAACCACTCCCCATTAAACCCGACTAGCGAGTGTGGGGTGGAGGAAATCCTTATACGCAGCCTTACCCTTGCATAATTGCTAATAGGCTATTTTCTGGATTCGAACCCATGACCTTTCAGTTAATATTGTGATAGCTTTTCCATAGTATGCATCGAATGAGGGGAAGAAAAGCTTTTATGGTAGTTAAGATAGATTTGGAAAAAGCTTATGATAGGCTTAATTGGAATTTCATACATCAGATCCTAAAGGGAGCTCAAATCCCAGATAAGCTAATTGACATAATAATGGTGTCGGTGAAATCAACCTCAATTAATATTCTTTGGAATGGAGGGATGACCCAGAAATTCCATCCAACTAGAGGTATATGTCAAGGTGACCCTATTTCACCATATCCTTTTGTTTTGGGAATGGAAAAGTTGTCCCATATTATAGATACTGCTATTAGAGGGAACCTTTGGCTGCCTATTAGAGCTGGTAAGGAGGGGTCGTTAATATCCCATCTTATTTTTGCTGATGATTTAATTTTGTTTGCTGAAGCGAATGAAGTCCAGATTCAGAATATGATGCAATGCCTAAGATTATCTGAAGAAACATAAGGCCAAAAACTAATGTGCAAAAAAGTAGCATATTCTTTTCAAGAAATACAGAGGAAGCTTTAGTATCGAGAATTACAGATTTTTGTGGTTTCGAAAGAGTGAAAAATGTTGGGAGATATTTGGGGGCTTGGATGCAACATGGTAACGTGACTAAAAAACATTATGGAGATATTATAGACAGACTCAAGCAAAGACTATCTGGTTGGCAAGCAAAATGTCTCTCACAGGCGGGGAGGGTTACTCTTACATAATCAGTGTTGGCCACTATACCTTCATTCCAAATGCAATGTGGTAAACTGCCCATTGGAGTGTGTAATGAGCTGGAAAAAATACAAAGAATTTATATGGGATGATAAGGATGGGGGGAAAATGCACCTGATAAACTGGAACACTTTGACTACACCGAAGATTGAAGGGGGTTTGGGGTTAAAGAAAACATTATTTAATGATGATTTTTTAGCTAAAATGACATGGAATATATTTACTAATCCCTAAAAATTGTGGGCAAAATTGCTAAGGGCCAAATATGCTGGAAACCGATTAGGTATGGAAATATTTACATGTAAAGTTGGGGACTCTGTGTTATAGAAAAATATATGTTTAATGTGGAAAAAAATGGAAGATCATACTAGCTGGGAGATAGTAAATGAAAATAATGTTATGTTTTGGCAAGACAGATGGGCAATCAATGATGGCAGACTCATGGACAAATCTTTGATGCCAATACCGTGGGAAGAAGCAACAAAAAAGGTAGCTGATTATAATGATACTGGTGGATGGAAAATTGAAGAGTTATCTAGTTGGCTTCCTTATGAGGAAATTCAAACAATTCGAAGTCTTCTCCTTCACAATACCTTAGATGACCGTGATCAATTAAAGTGGAACTTTCCTGGCAAAGGGAATGTCTCGGTGAGTGGCATTTATAAGCTGCTAGCTAATCAGACAATGACCACAAGTGAGAGATCTGAAGTTTGGAAAGATATATGGAAATGGAAAGGTTCACATAGAATTAAACTGTTTTTGTGGAAAGTAGCTCATGGAAAGCTCATAACAAAAAAGGATGGCAAGCTTGCAACTAGGAGATCCGACGTGTATTCTGTGCAATAATGGAGATGAAACTCTGATGTATACTTTGAGAGACTACTTCTATGCTAGGAAGTTATGGGACATATTGGCAGCCAATACGGTTTGTGCCATTTTCCTAACATCCGATGAACAGGATTGGCTCATTTCCAACTTGAAAGTAACCACATAAGTTCTAAGAGGTATTCCTTGGCAAACAATTTTTGTGGTGGCTGTTTGGAAGATTTGGCAATGGAGAAATGAAAGGCTACATGGCGTCCAAGGGAATCCAAATGAGTACAACCTGAACAGTATACTTAGGTATGCAGAGAAGGTCTGGATAGTTGCTAATAGGAAAGAGAATGGTGTTAATCATGTAACAAAAGAGGAGATTTTAATACATTGGAAATTTCCTAAAATGGGGTGGGTCAAAGTTAACACTGATGGAGCGGTCAAAGGAAATCCTGGAATGACATCGTGTGGGGAGTGATTAGAGATTGTTCTGGTAAGTGGTTTAATGGATTCTCTTATCGGATTGGCATTTGTAACACTAATTTGGCAGAACTATGGGGCATTTTAAAGGGGATTGAAATGGCTTGGGAAGCAGGTTGGAGAAAAGTTATCATTTAAAGTTATTCTGAAGTGGGAATCACGTGGCTCACATAGATAGGAGAGCCAGCCTATGAGTCTCATATTGTGACTCGCATACGGGCATAGATGGATAAAGATTGGATAGTGAGGATAAATCACACATATAGAGAAGGGAATTGCTGTGCAGATTGGCTCTCTAATCTCCCATTTGAAAATCTAGATCAAGAGGATTACTGTTCTTTTTCAGAGCCCCCTATGGGATTTATTTAATGTATCTAGCTGATTTAAGTGGTTTAGGTAGAATTCGTTGTATTTCTTCTTTTTAGCCTATTTAAGGTCATACCCCATTCAGGATACTAAAAAAAAAAAAAAGTTGCGCTGCTACCTCTCTTTAAAGTATTAAAAAATAAAGTTGCTTTCTCCCCAAAAATGTAATGTTTTTAATCTTTTTATACTCTTTGAAATTTTTGTTGTATTTCGATTTATCCAAATTGAATCGAGCAGATCCAAATATTTGTTTGACGGGTAAGAAATTGTAATAATCAATTAGTGTTACTACTAATACTACTACCAATCAATTTCACCGTTAGATCGATTATGTTGATCCAATTATTTTCATCTTTGTATAATTATGATTCCCTATATTTAATATGAAAACATTAAATATGAGAAATCATAACTATGCAAAGGTGAAAATAAATATAAAGTATTAAATATGAGGAATCACAACCATACAAAGATGGAAATAAATATAACCGTTGGATCAACATAATCGATCTAACGGTGAAACTGATTGGTAGTAATACTAATTGGTTGTTACAATTAGGGGTGTTCATCAACCAATCCAAACCGATTCAAACCGCGGTGACCGAACCGAAAAACCGATAACCGAATAAACCGAAAACCGAAAAACCGAAAACCGAAAAAAAATCGCAAATTTTAATTGGATTGGATCGATTTTCGGATGGGTTGATGAAAACCGATCCAATCCAAACCGATCCAATATATTAATTTCCCTCTACCTACTTGGTCCTTTCTCCTTCATAACCCCACATTTTTTAAACCCAAGACCCATTAACCCATCAACTAAACAAAAAAAAAAATCTAATCACATCTCATCAACAAAATTTTATCTGTGTAGACCTTCATATCTCATTGCCCAAAAAAATAACTATATTATCGTTTACTAATGCTTTTGTGTTTCAAAAAATAAATAAATTTACAAAGCCAATATATACCAAAGATGTTATTTGCACAATAATCATGAAACTAATTTTAGGAATTTCAAAAAACCGAAAACCGATCCAATCCAAACCGAAACTAATTGGATTGGATCAGATTGGATTTGAAAAAAAATTCAAACCGAATGGATGATTAGATGATCAAACCGAAAGGATTGGATCGGATGATTTTTGATTCCAAAATCGATTCAATTCAGACCGCGAACACCCCTAGTTACAATGTCCTTCCCCTTTGTTTGATTCCAATTTTATAAAACAGTTTTATACTTTCAATGATATAGAACAAAACTTGTTTTAATCTAAATGTTTTGAAATAAAAAATAAAATGAAAAAGTGTTTATCATTTTAAATAACAAAATTTTATTTCATTTTAGATAAAATAATATCATTTTGATATATATTTGGTGAGTTTTTATAGAGGAAGGTTATACTTACAACTTTTTTTTTACAATCTCTTACAACAATATCTTAACACCGTTGATTTCCGCCAATCAACGGTTATGATTTTCGCAAATTAAACTCATTAATTAATTATTAATTCATAATAAATGATAATCGTTGATTGGCGGAAATCAACGGTGTTAAGATATGGTGGTAAGAGGTTGTAAAAAAAAGTTGTAAGTATAACCTTCCTCTTTTTTATATTCTCTCTCCTCTATAAAATTAGAAAGAGAAGCTAAAAAATCATGAGTTATGCTCCAAAACGACTTTGCTTCATTTAAATTGATAAACTTTTTTTCAAAATAAAAATACAATTTCAATGAAATAAATTTTTGGATTCTTTTTTTCTGCAGTCAACGTAGATAAGTTATCTACGTTGAGCCCAAAATAACGTCATTTTTGGGTGAAATTCAATGTACTTTTGTAATTATAATTTATTTCAGGGTTATACTAGTTTTTCTCATTATAATTTTTTAATCTTTTGACCCAAAACGATGTCATTTTGACAGTGAATGTAGATAACTTATCTATTCACCGTAGAAATATTAAAGGCTAAATTTTTACGCATTATATTAGAATTTATGTATTAAAATAAAATTACATTATATTGAAATACATTTTCAAAATAAATGATAATCGTTGATTGGCGGAAATCAACGGTTAAGATGTGGTAGTAACATTATTTGGTTGTCACAATCTATGTAGCACCGATACGACACGCGACACGTGACACGACACGACATGACACTCCGACATATCAATTCTAAAAAATTATGGATTTCGACACGTTGAGACACGTTTTAATATTAAATAATTTTTTTAATTTATATAGTATATATTTCATTTAATATTTAATAATTTAACAAAAAAATGAAACTAAATTAATAATACCATCAACACGTTATAAAGATGGAAACTTTAATAAAAAAAATAAGAACTGGGATGAGAGAGAGATATAATATCAGATAAATAGATCAAATCATATTAGAGAGAGATCAGAGAGAAGGAGATACAACAAGAACGTAATAGGAATTGACAACAATCATGCTGAGATGATCTCTGTTATCAAAAAAAAAAAAAAAAAAAGACAAAAAAATAAAATTGATATGATCAAGTGGAAGCTTTATTAATAATTTTTAATATTTTTTTAAAAAAAATTTAAAAAAAAATTAAATTTTTTTTTATGAAAATGGCAAGTGTCGGAATGGTCAACGTGTCGAAAAAAGTTGACCGAGTGTCCGACACCGTGTCGGAGCGTGTGTCGCCGTGTCGGAACGTGTCGGATACGACTCTCACTGATTTTACAAGTGACAAGTGTCCGTGCTTCCTTTACAAGTGACAAGTGTCCGTGCTTCCTTGGTCACAATATCCCATCCCTTAAAATAAAATAATAAATGTATTTACGATTATGCAAGAATTTCTGTTTTTACAATTTTACCCTCGTCTTCATCCTCGTCTAATTAGGGAAATGCAGAGTTACACCAGCGAGCGGCGATACAAACAAAAGAATTAACGCAATTCGTTTCGCTAAAACGCAGAATCGAAAATTATCATGCGAGACAGTACGAGATTTAGTTGCTTGATTTGTTTGTAACGGTATATATGTTGTTATCTAACTAACCGTGCAATTCTTGTGCAGAAAGGAGAGTTATTATACAAAATTGCCATGGAGAAAATCTTGTTGGGATCTTACATGATGCGGCTTCAACAGAACTTGTTATCGTGTGCCACGGCTTTCAATCTTCCAAGGTTGTCTCTCTTGACATTTTTATGTAAATGAAGCTAATTTTTTTTTTTTAAGCTATGGTTTTTCTTTTTTTAAGAACCAATTAAACCTAAATGTTCGATGAAATTACATTAATAATTTTAACTGTGCTAAAAAAACTCCACCAAAGATATTAGTTAAATGAGGACGATGAAGATCGAACCGTGACACCGACGCTTTGATGTAAAAAAATAAAAAGTTAATTCAATCCAAAAGCTTAAACTATTGGGTAAAATTATTACATTAATAATTTTATATATCTATAACACGTTTGGTATAATAATAATACATTGGAATATATTAAATCTCAATAATTTCATAATTGTTCAGTCCTGAATTGTGAACCTACCTTTAAATTTTCAAATGAAGTTTTCACTTATCAGTCTGTTTAGTAGAAGGGTTACTTGAGTATCTAGCATAATAGCATGTTGAAACTGGTTGCTCTGAACTAAAGCATGGGATGATTTTATCTCTAGGAAAGGATCCCAATGGTGAACCTTGCTGCTGCTCTGGAAAAAGATGGAATCAGTTCCTTCCGCTTTGACTTTGCTGGAAATGGGTAAGCTCCTCTACAAAGGAGAAATAATGTTTTTAAATTGGTGAGTTGCTAATTTGTTTAGGGAATGAATATAAACACTTTTTTTTTTTCTCTGGGTAGTTTGATTTGTTTGTAGATGGTATGGCTTTTGTATTTAAGATTTATTTTTAAGATCTGCATGCTGGCATGAACTCCAACAATAATCAGTAACTCAGAGTTTTAAACTTTCGAACATGTTTCTATGTCTATTTTCTTTTTTTAGAAGAAGAAATTCAATAAAACAAAATGAGGAAACTTACAACGAATTTGGAGGATAAGGGATCCTGCTTAACTAAAAAGCAAAATACTATCACAAACCAACTTTTAGTGAAGGCTCATAGATGGCTTTGTTACATCTCTAACAAACACAAACAACAAAGAGAAAGGAAATCTTCAGTGGAGCAAAGCTTCCCATCCCTCAACAAATATCTGTCAGGGAAAACCCTCTTAAAAAGATCTTGTGTTTTATATCAAATAGAATCTAAATGCCTAACCTTATCTCAAATTAGCTGCTGTGTCCAGGAAACCTCCTTCAATATACAAGTGTTCTCCTACAACCAAATGCAACCTATCTTAGCACAGATTTCACATTGCTATAACATTTTGTTTTTATGTCCTATTACATACAAATAATATATTGTCTTCCATTTATGGCTTTATTTTTTTTTTTCTCAAATAAACTTCGACTTAAACCAATGTAGCCACATTCAAAACAAAGGAACCAATCTATTATAAAATCGAATGTAGAAGTGATTCTAGCTTGGAGGTAACCCATGGGTGTACCTGTTCTAGTACTGAACGAAAATATTTTAATATTGAATCATAAATTTGTTTGCTAATATCTCATGCAATTGTCTTCTAGGGAAAGTGAAGGTTCATTTCAGTATGGTAACTACTACAGAGAAGTTGAAGACCTGCGAGCTGTAGTTCAATACTTCCGTGAGGAGAAACATGTAATTACAGCAATTGTTGGCCACAGTAAAGGTCAGATTACAATTATGCTTAGTATATGAAAATGAAGTTAGTTGTGGACTGAAAAGACAACCTATAAGTTCAATGGCAATTTGTAATTGTTTTCTCTCCTGCCCTACAGATTTTGGTAATTTTTTTTTCCTCAGTTTCTCTGTTTTTAAGGTTATCAATATTTTTAAAAATAATTTATTTTGTGTGCATGGTGAATAATAGAGGTAGTAAGGAATTGGTATAATTATTTCAAGGTAATTTTTGGAAATTGTGTTCTTTGCTGAGAAGATCTGTGGAAATGTACTGTGAGAAAAGTTTAGATCTTTGGTTGGTTTTTTATTTCTTTGGAGAAAGCATGTGATGGCATTGTTGGGGTGATAATATAATCTGCTTTTAACAGTAAAGACAGTGTAGATATATCTTGAGTGTCGGATGTTTAATGTTACAAGGAAGAAGTTATAAATGGAATATATTTTATCAGAGTTAGGTGTAGTTTTCATCTATAGGTAAAGATGAAGGAAAATTGTCCAAGAGATGGTTTGGACTTATACAATTTAGAGGTGAAAATGTTTGAGAAGGATTGGAAAATATTGAGGATAAAAAGTGGACCAAGTTTACATTGCTTACACTGAAGATATAATTATACAGTTTTAGTGGAAAATTGTAGTTTTTCGTAAGTTTTGAAGGTAACTGAAACTTAAGTTCTACATGAATGTAATATAGTTTTCCTTATATAAAGTCTCTCACAATCCTAAACTCCTCATGTAAGTCACTCACTATAATGGTTTCTGCAGGGGGTAATGTGGTGCTCTTATATGCCTCAAAATATAAGGATGTTGATATTGTTGTCAATATATCTGGCCGGTTTAATCTAGCGAGAGGCATGGAAAGTCGCTTGGGCAAAAATTTTATACAAAGGATCAAACAAGATGGATTTATAGATGTTAAAAATAAAAGAGGTGAGCTATGAAATATACATAATCTTCGAGTTCTATTCATCAATCATTTGTGATTAAATTTAATCAGCATGTCTTGGTGAATTTTGTTCTTGATTCTTTGTTCTTTTGTTGCCATGAACGTTGTTAGTTGATTTTAAAAATAAAGGAAGTGAGCTATTAGATGTGAATGTGACTGCCCTCGCGGTTCTAATAATATCTGGTCTTGGTGTTGAATGGTGACATCTCTTCGTCAACATGTTGCTTTTTTGTCATCAACCTTTCTAGCTTCCGCTTGATGTTACATCATAGTGGCTACCAAAAAGCTACTAAAAACAGTGTCTTCAGCCGTTGCTTGTATTTTTCTTGTTATCAATTTACTTCATCCAGTCTGATTAACACTTTCCTTTTCTTACCATAGGGAAGATTATGTATCGTGTTACTGAAGAAAGTTTGATGGATCGTCTATCTACTATTACCCATCTTGCCTGCCTATCAATTCCTGAAAATTGCAGGTAACTTTTGTTACTACATCTAACAATATGCATTTATTTCATTGAAAATGTTGCAAAATCAATCGCTTCATGTTTTACTGTTACATTGCTAGTCACTTCATGAATGTTGATACAGAGTTTTGACAGTTCATGGATCCATGGATGAAACTGTACCAGCAGAAGATGCTTTAGAGTTTGCTAAGTTCATATCTAATCATGAACTGCGCATCGTAGAAGGAGCTGATCATGAATACTCTTGTCAGCAAGATGAGTTGAACTGCTTAGTTTTGGAATTCATCAAGGCTCATAATGATAACAACAGAGATACGTCTAAGCAGACACGTTTTGGAAGAGTAGATAAACCTATTCGTTCACGATTCTAGTTCTTGCAGAATATGCGGATCCAGTACCTCTTCTATTTAAACCATCCTTCTTACAAATAATGCCACAACCTTGACAAGTAAGCAAGAAAGATGGAGTCAAACCTCGTACCATTTCTATCTTCCTATGTGCCCACCTGGTAGCCAGCCAATAAGCAGTAGCTGTCAGAGTTAAGGAAAATTGACAAATGTTACCCAAGTTTCTCATTATTGAACCTCAATAGTTGCACACTTGACAAGAATTGCTGCATCATTATTGCTAGGTTGTCAATCTGACATTAAACTCTTGTCGCTACTGCTTAAAGGTTATGCTCTTGCATACTACTACAGGTGAGCGATGAAATGAACAATTTGACATCTGGAGCATGATTGCATGAACATGGATCATCTGGTAGATAGAACATATGAAGTACAGCTGATTGAATTTTCATTATCTTAGGTGAGCAATAACAGCTAACAAGTAATTAAAGGGCAACTACTAAAACAATTGGTCTTGGAGGTTGACTACAATGTTTGTAATTACCGAGTACAGACTACCTACTGCTGTGTACAGATTTACTTATGACCATAACATTATGCACATTTCTTCTATGTCTATCATATTTCTTTCCTTTTCATTGCCTTTATTTTCTTTTTGAGGCAAACATTAACCCAATATCATATTTCAGAAATGAATCCAGAAAAGACTATGAAAATGCAATTTATTGTTTGGTGCTGCTTTTATGTTTGGATGGGGATTGTAAGAACCCATCTGCAGCCGGTTTGTTAACATGTAAATGGTACAAAAGCGCATCTTTAAATTATGATTTAAGCGGAAGACTTAATCTAAGTATTGCCTTTACCTAATTTAAAAAGGCGAATGAACTTTTTCTTTTATCCATATACTATTTTTCTTACGCTATTCTTAACGTCTTAAAAATATTTTCCTTATGTATGTATTGCCACGTGAAATTCTTAAATCCAATTATTGTAATATGTATGGTCACATACCTGCGCAGGCTTCTTGATTATTTTACCTACATCTATTCTTTACATATTTGTACTTAACAGAAATGATCTATCCAAATATGATCACAAGGACCATTTTGAACAAAAACATATGGACAACATGAAGACTGTAATTCGGATAAATCTAGGGAATAGTCCGACATCTTTTTACAATACCTGATATATAGATAATTCAGACAAATAATATATCTATATTCTCATACTTAAAATTCATCTATGAGTTCATACAGAATCTGGCTCTATGCCAATACAAATATGCATACAGAAACTAATATCCAACATATACAAATATAAATAAGACTACACATGCCTCTCAAAATGGATATCAAATATAAACATGCATGACCACTACTCATGCCTCTCAAAATGGATATCAAATATAAACATGCATGACCACTACTCATGCCTTAAAACAAATATACACATATAGCTAAGCATAAAATCTAGCTCTATCTCTAGTCACTTTGCACATGCTTCTTGCCTTGAGATGACTGATCAACAGTTGCTGGAGTACCTAAAATGTAAGTCCCCAAACAAAGTGAGATTTCCACTATCTCAGTAAACTTAGGGCTTATGGAGAAGTCTCCACCCATGAGTTCACTTCCTGCAAAGAAGATTAGATACATAGTATAGTATACATCATACAAGCATAACTAAAATCAGACCACTAGTATATGCAGATATCTCTAAGGACCTATGTCTCTCTAGAGCAACCGGAGCCAACCGTTAATAGGAGTACTCATGGCTATATCTGATCTGTTCATTGTCCAAGAACTAACATATATACTCATATACATATATTTATCTCATATCACATCACATCATATTATCACATATATCAATGTAACTACACTTAGTATCCAACATCATAAACACAAACACACAGATATACCACTATGATCATTATATCCTGGTAAAACAAACAAAGAGGAAGAATCCTCTTAAACCAAGAGCTTACCTCTTGAAGCTTCTATAGCAAACTTACTTGAAACGCAAGTAACTTGGTCAAATCCTCAGAACTCTTATTAGGAATTACTGTATCTCCTAATTCACACCTGTTATCCAAATATATATCAGATTTTACTTTCACACATCCAAATGTATCACAAGACGTATATCTTGTCAATTCCACATTCATTCTTGACAATTCACGCTCATACCACAGGTCAAACCTAAACCCTAATAATTGACATTCTTTCACATAATGTTAAACTTATATCCAAATACAATCAATTCGAGATTTAACTCCTTAAACCCACTTGAAACCTACTTCAATTAAGTTTCTAGGCTTAATTATTAGTAACTTCAATTCCAAATCACTTAATCCTTATATGGCCGAACCCTAATTAACACACATTTCCTAAGCTTTTACTACATCATTCTATGTTCCATTTAATCTTTCATCATGTATCACAAACACACACTTAACTTAGACTTTGAATTCATTAGTCAAATGACTCTTTAAGTGTCAAACTACTTTTATACCTTTAAACACTCAACTCAACCACTCCATTACACTTTATTACACACCAAAGACACTTAGCATCTTCCATATAAATCAAACACATTTTTAACCCTATTAACCTATAATGGCCAAAATGCATAGGTTAGGATTTTATAACCTTTTCACATTCAAACTTTGATCACAAGCTCTCAAGGTGTATGATTTTAGGGATTTTGATCACAAGCTCACTTGCTATCTTTTTCATGTTGAAAGATTTTTGAAATAGTGATTAAATCACCAAGCTCTCTCACATTCTTTCCACTATGAAGCTCTCGGCCAAGAAGAAGAAAACTTGCTTAAAATAAAACACCTAAGAAGGAACCGAACTATATGATTTAAAGTAGCTTAATGTCCAAGTTTTCTTGCTTTTTTACTTTAACAACATCTTTAGCATTTCATTGGCTATCAAATATTCATGTTCACTTTCAATTTATAACAATACATGAAACAACAAGCAAAATGGCGTGGAATGCATCCAAGAGGAGAGAAAACCAACCTATGCTTGGAAAAAATATCATAAAGCCACCAATTTTGACTTTTCAAATACTTATTCAACTTAATTCTTATTGAGTATGACTTTAACCTTTAAATAAATTTCATGGGCTGATTTAACATGAGAAATGGCATGGAGAAGAGAGAATAAACAAAAGAGAACCAACTTGCATTAACAAATATAACAAAGCACACAAAAATTAACTTTTCAAAGGTTTATTTTACTTAATTTCTATTGGTTGTTATTTATTCTTTACTCACATGAAACTATGAGCAACCAATCATAAAAGAAAGGAATCATGCATATGATATAGCAAAGAAAGAAAAACAACCAACTTTGACCAAGAATTAAGCTTAGTTAACAAGTTTTTACTTATTTTGACTTATAACTTTTAATTAAATTCCTATTGGTTCTAATTTAATTAATCTTTGACTTAATTATTTTAATTTTTTTACATATCATCCATTTAAATTAAGACCACTTATAACCCATAAAATTTAGCAAACAATTTAACTAGATTGACAAAATTCAATTCAGACCTAGTTTTGTCAAATTACCAAAATAACACTATCTCTGCTAAATTGATATCTATGTCTCTCAATATAACTTATACTCTTACTTAGGTCTTAATTGACTTATTAGTATGAAGTGTATCATCATATTAATTATCATGATAATTTCATGATTTAACTATCATAATTCTCTTAACAGTCACTTAATTCTCACATTATCTCACTTTAACCTTTATTTAACACATCTTAGTGATGAGGGTTGTTATACGGATCGTAGAGGGGAAGTAAAGGAATGAGATGGGAGCCCATCCCCTAATAAAGAGTTTAAATAGATTAGAAAATGAAGGGAGACATGGGTACATTGGCCATCTATTTTTGCCAATGGTCGTTAAAAGTTTTATTTTTAAGTGTCATTAGTTTGATCTTCAAATAATAAATACATCAAAATTGTCCTTCAATGTTAATTTTTTACATCAATTTGATTGGTTACTTTTTTACATTAAGTTGGTTCTCCAAAAGGATTAATTTGATGAATGTTATTGTTGCTACTCACGGCAAGTGCACCGATCGTACAAGTAATATATGATTAAGTAAGAGATCGTTCCCACGAGGATTACGGTTCAAGCACTAATTCACTATCGCAAACTTAGTTGGACAATCGAAAGTGTATTTGGAAACAGGATTTGAATTGCAAAATTAAAATATTAAATATTAAAGCTAATTACTTGCAAGAATTAAAGACAAGAAATTAAAGATGTGATTTAACTAATAAAATAAAAACGTAGCTAGGGGTTCGATTTCATTTAATCTCCTTATTACGTTTGAATTCCTTCTTAATGTTAATTGTCCTTAGTATCAATCTAATCAATTCTTTCGCATGTTATTAGAGCTCAATCCCTTGTTACTCTAAAACCTTTACAATATTGGAAGAACTCTAGTTCCCCGGTTATTCCCCAAGCATGCAAGCATTAAATTCAAGAATCTTAAAGATTACGCAAACCCTATGTCTATCCCTAGAATCATAACATTTACGATGAAGTTATCAGATATGGATCACACACCAACATTCCTATTGTCATGCATTCACCGATGATCATTATATAAGATTCAAGCCTATATAAAGCATTAAAAACAGATAACTTCATTCATGATATAAAAGGGAAATTAACACAGCGAATTGTTCAAAACATAATAAATCGACTAAAATCCATCTAACCCTAACTACTTAAGGAACTAGCCAGACATAGCAAAGTCAAGAACAAAAGAAACTATAAAGCTCCCTCAAACTCCATAGGTGATTGGTGAATCTTCAATATCTCCAGTGAACACTTGACGTTGATCCGTCTCCGCTGCTCACGAACATGAATCTGATGTTTCTCCGCGTTTCTTCAGCCTCCAAGCACCCAAGAGTTGTTTAGCAATGTAAAAGTTATGTATTTCTGGTCCCCAATGGTGTTTAAATAGGTCAAGAGTTCGTATTGCAGTAGAAAACTTGAATGGGCCTAAGTTGGACTTGTCTGGGCGCTTAAGCTTGTGAATGGGGGCTTAAGCTCCCACTTCTAACAACTTGATAAGATCTTCAATCTTATTGTTTTCACCTTGATTCATCTTCTTTTCTGATTTGATCTCTCTTTATCTAAATCTTCATATTTGAATCATTTGTTATCAAATCCCTTTAAAAATAACAAATATATTAATTAGTTCCAACAATCAGATAATGTTCATGATTATCATTTTAAAACCCCAATTTTTGACTTGTTCAACTAGATAATTCATATTATTTTAGTCCATTAAACAAGATAAACTAAAGGTTTATCAAACAATTCCCAGATTTGAACATTGATGTCCTCAGCAATTAATTAGAATAAAACTATGGGAAAGTTTGGAGACGGCTAGTCATGCTTGATGAATAACAGGCAGAAAACTGATCAATAATGAGATATCAAAGTATCCAGACTTATTAAAAATCAATGACACATCAATTTCAAGCAAACAGTCATAATTCACCAGTCATAAAATCATAACATTCGTTCTCAAAAGAAAGAGTAGTACAATTTAATTTCCACAACACCCTCTCACTGGATTTTTATTTATTCACTCACATTCAGTGTTTAAGGGTATGTGTTTCACTCTTACTTCACTAAATTAACACTACCATAAGCTTGTTTATATTCTCACTCTCCACAGTCTTACTAGTATACAAAGTCAATCAAGAGGTCTTTGTTAAGGTTGTAACGTGGCTTAGGTAAAAGGAAAAGAATCATCTTGGTAAGTGGCTTAAGATAACTGATCAAAATTCAACTTCAAAGAGGAACTAGTTTAACTGTTCAACATATAGTAAACAGATTTCTCTTATTTTCCTCCTCTTTTCTTCTTCCACTTATTCATATAATATAAGTATTTTATTTCTTTTCCTTCTTCCTTTTGTTTTTCTTTTTCTGTTTTTGTACAGATAAACAGTTCAACCTTTTTCTTTTCATTTCCTTTTTCCACCACTTTGTGGCAATTTCCCTCTTTTCACCTTTTTCTCCCATACACTTAGAGTTTGATTTTCTCTTTTTGTTTCAATCCTATCCAGTTCCTCATTTAATTTTGAAAATTAATCAGTTCAGGTGAGGATGTGTATGGAATGGCTATTCATAATGTACTGTCAATGAACAAACAGGCCTCGGCTCAAAAGGGCTTAATCTAAGAATAAACCTTCAGGGTGGCTATTCGGCTATCTAACTTTTAAAAAGAACTGCCTCTATCATTTCAACAATTGTATACTACAGACCATTTCAAAGAGAAACAAAACAAGTTCTAGAGTGATTCAACAGTAAAGTTTACACCACAAAAAAAAATTCTGTTTAGGCTCAAAAGCTTACGGCTAAGGATGTGAGACTTATTTTTTCACTCTCTCTTTGATTACTCTAGTTATTCTTCTCTTATTCCAGTGAACTATGAAGCATGCTTGACTGACGCTCATTTATGTACGAAAATAAAATTTATTTACATCATTATACTCTTGATATCAAGTATCAACCAATTTCATGTAATTATTCATTATGCATCCATATCAAGCACAATGGAAAATCTCTTAAGATCCACTAATTATTTATTGACTAAGATGGAAGGGGTCTTAATAATAATTAAAAAAAAAACTTAAATATTAAACTAACTAATATATATGAAGACCTTAAAATAAACAAATACTAAATCAAAATAATATATTTAAAATCATATAATATGAAAATAATATCGAGAAACTCCCCTGAAAAACTGCATTTGTAATTTGGATATTTCTGTGTACTCCGTGTAATCAAGAGTTTCTTCTTCCGACCATGTGAAGTTTATGGTCTGATGAATTGCATGGTACCCATCCCAGATTTAAATCTTGCTGTCCTCAGCAATAAACTTAAATCTAAAAGAATCCTAAGCAAGAAATGAGAAAAATTTGATATTGTACTCTGCACACATGTCACAGATAAAGAAACTACGTCAGCATGTCATATCAAAAAAAAAATCATAGTCACGTCAAGATCAGTCTCAATATACATCTAATATCAACATGAACTAAAATCAACAAAAGAAAAAAAATCTAAACATTGAGACAATGGTCAATCCTCATCAATTTCAGTAGTGGGTGCAATATCATTTCTATCAGCATCCTGTGTAGTGTCTGCAACCATATCAGCATTAGTATTCGAGTATCCAACATGTTTGCAAAGTTAGTGCAATTTCCACATAACAATTCCCAGATTTATATTCAGATGCATCTGAAAATAATAATGAGTATATGGAACTGAAATACTTTAACAATATGCATAATGTCAAAGATGAGCGCGCTTAAGCGCAGTGATTCGCGCTTAAGCGCGCTGAGGCAGTGAGAAATGGGATAAAATTTTATTTAGCGCGCTTAAGCGCGATTCAGAGAGCTTAAGCGTGTTAGGGCCGAGAGAAATTTCACTTTTTTTGGGGGCTTAAGCCTCCTTTAAGGGCTTAAGCTCTCAATACTTAGAAAATTTTCTCCATATTTTCCTATTCCTTGCATTCATCTCTACTGTGTATTCTTCCACCTCAATAATTCTGCTCAATATCATACACAAAACATATAAATGAATAAGAGTTGCGTACCTGTGTATGCTTTAATCCCACTTACACCTGAAAGTCCATCTCAACAGAATTTGATCATTAACCTCAATGTTTTTATTTTTTTTGATTTTTATGATATGACTAAAATAAACTATACTAAGAATAATTAAAATAAGCTAAACTAAAATTAAATTACTAAATACTAAAATGTTGGAAAATAAAAATATAGTTGGGTTGCCTCCCACAAGCGCTTGTTTTACGTCACGAGCCTGACGTACCTCTTTTACGTTCATGGTGGTTCAAAGCATGGGCTTGGTGATGACCAAGCTCTATCATTCAGAAATGGTGTCCTCCCATAGTACTCTTGTGCATATGAGTGAGATGAAGTAGGCTCAATAGCTTTGAATTTTGTGTTTACGTGTTTTCCCTTGCTCCTGAGCTTCTCCATTTTAACCTTTGGCTTACTTTCTTGAGAAGAATTCTCTTTGTGCTCTTCTTCTCCTTTCTTTTCACTAATATAGTAGACTTGATCTTCCGGTTGAATTATAGGTGAGGGAACTTCTTTATCAAAGAACTTGAAAATTGCTTGCTCCCCGTCTACCCGTAAGATCAACTCGCCTTTCGATACATCAATCAGCGCTCCTGAGGTTGCCAAGAAAGGTCTTTCGAAGATCATAGGAATAGTAGAATTTTTCTCTATATCAAGGATGACAAAATCAACAGGAATGATGAATTTGTCAACCTTTACCAGTATGTCCTCAATAATGCCATAAGCTTGCTTTGTAGAGCGGTCAGCCAGTTGAACTATTGTCTTGGTTGGCCTTACTTCAGTGATCCCCAGTTTCTTCATCATAAATAGTGGCATCACGTTGATGCTGGCACCGAGATCACATAGAACATTTTTCACTTCCATATTGCCTATGTTGCATGGAATGCTGAATCTTCCTGGATCTTTAAGCTTTGGAGGCAACTTTTTCTGGATAATGGCACTACATTCCTCTGTCAGCGTCACTGTCTCACATTCTTGTAGCTTACGCTTTCGTGATAGAAGATCTTTCATGAACTTTGCGTAATTGGGCATGTTCTCCAAGGCTTCAGTAAACGGGATATTGATTTGCAGCTTCTTGAAAATGTCAAGGAACTTGGAATACTGCTGCTTTTTGATTTCCTCTCTGAACCTCTGCGGATATGGAATCTTTGCATAAGGTGAGAGCTCCAATGGCTTTTCTTGCCTTTCTTGAGCTTTCTTTTTCTCCCATTTGAACTCTTTCTTTTCAGGAACAGTTTTCTCTGCAGCAGATTCTTTGGCAACTTCCTTTTCTTTTTCCTTTACAGTTGCAAGTTCATCATCTTTCTTTTTCTCAACTAAAGGCTTTACCACAGGTTCAATGGCTTTCTCACTCATAGTAGTAATCGCATTGCAGTGTTCCCTACTTGGATTTGGAATAGTGTTACCTGGAAAAGTTCCTTGAACTCTTTCAGTGAACTGCTTTGATAGCTGGCCAATCTGAGTTTCAAGATTCCGGATAGAAGCTTCTTGATTCCGGAATGAGGCCCTTGTCTCTTGCATAAAGGCTGAAGTGTCCTCTCTGAAATTATTGGAACTTTGAATGTAGTCTGATGTGGTCTTGGATAGTTGTGCAAAGGCCTTTTCCCATTCTGATTGTTGTGGAGGTTGTTGTTGCACTGGCATAGGAGGATTCAGCTGATGGTTCGAACTGTAACTAAATCCTGGGTGTTGATTTTGATTTTTATTTCTCCACCCTTGATTCTGATTATTGCCGTATTGGTTCCTCCCTGGATTATATGGAGCTTTTTGATCATGCCAAATTCCATTAACATCTGCAGTTTCGGGTGCCTTGCAGTCATCAGTAGCATGAGCACCTGCACAAATATCACAAACAATAGAAGAAGTATTAACAGAAGCTACTGGAGTATTAACAGAAGAAACTTGAAAATCAGAAAATTGCTTTGTGAGAGCATCTAGTTGTTGTTGTTGTTTCTTATTAAACTGTAGAATCTGATCATTCTGGGCCAGGATAGCATCATAGCCATCAAGCTTCATAATCCCCGCTCTTCTCTGTGGTACGGGAGCATTATCATACTCCTGAGAGGCTAAAGACTCTAATAATTCCAAGGCTTCCTCTGGAGTTTTTGTTTTCAAGGACCCTCCTGATGCAGCATTCACCAATGTTCTTGTGTTGGGCTTCATCCCTTGGAAGAAAGTTCTCGCTTGTTCCCAGGCTTCAATGCCATGTTGGGGACACTTCCTGAGTAGTCCTTTGAATCTTTCCCATGCTTCATATAGAGATTCACTTTCTTTTTGTTCAAAAGAAGTGATATCCGCCTTGAGCTTTGCCATTTTCGAAGAAGAGAAAAATTTGTCCAAAAATTTGGTTGCCAAGTCGTCCCAGTGAGTGATGCTTCCTTGAGGTAACGATTGCAACCATCCTCTTGCTTCGTCTTTAAGTGAACATGGGAACAACCTGAGCAAAATAGCATCCCGAGACACCCCATTCATCTTCAAGGTATCACAATATAACAAGAAGTTTTCCAGATGGATGTAAGGGTCTTCCGTGCTTCCTCCGGCAAATTGGTCTTTCTGAATTAATTGTAAAAGTGCCGGCTTGAGTTCGAAGTTGTTAGCATCCACGTTTGGTCTAACAATACTCGCCGTCTGTGGAACTCGAGCAGGAGTCATGTAATCTCCCAACGTTCTCGGAGGTGGTGGAGGTGCATTGTTGTCTCCCATTGCTTCTTCTCTTGGTTCTGTTGAGCTTGAAGCTTCTTTCTCTTGATGTCTTCTTTCTTTAGCAAGTTTTCTGTTTCTTTTTGTTGTTTTCTCTATCTCCGGGTCGAATTGCAAGGAAACGGTGTCAACGGTACCTCGCATAAACAAGAAAAATAGATTATATAAAATAAGAAAATAAAACTGAATTTAAATAACAGAAAATTAAATAACAGAAAATAAGGTCCAATCTAAAGAATTAATAGCTACTATTAATGTTGAAATAGGAAACAGGATTTGAATTGCAAAATTAAAATATTAA